CCAACAACACAGTTCATAATAATGGGGGATTTCAATCATGTAGTAGACCCCAGAGTAGACAAATCAAATCAAGAAGGGCAAAGAAATAAACGAATGCTGCCTTTGTTCTGATGGTTTCTAGCACAAAGTTTCTGCGATACATACTGGGCTTTTAACCCAAGTACAAAAGTATACACGTGGGGCAATCTCGAGGTCCAGACAAGAATTAACTATATCTGGTTATCAACTGATCTTATAAAATCACTAGTGCAAGCAGAAATTATAGATCTAAACATATATACGTGTAGTGATTACAATGCAGTACTAACAAAGTTGAGGCTAAAATCAGCAATACAAAACAATAGCAGAGCGCAAATTAAAAGAAAAGAGCACTTGTGAACAATATTTCTATATGATAAAGCAACAAAAGACAACTGGGAAGATTACGCCAGTGATTTACAGCAATATTTTGAGAAAAATCTAAGCAGCGAACAATTAAACAGTAGTATAGAAGATACAACTGATACAGAATCTGAGATGAATTGTGTCTGGGAAAAGATAGCTACAGGAATAATACATGCAGCTAATAAGAATATTCCTAGGAAAAAGGTTTCTAAAGTAATCAACACAAGAAGAAAAAATAAGTTTAAAAAATCTTGTTTGCATGAAAATATGATTAGGCTTAGCAAACTAGTGAAAAGTCTAAAGAAGAAAATTGGTCTTAGAATCGGGATAGATGACAGAGACGAGATTAACATATTAATGGAAAAATTTAACCTTAAACATGGAACAAAAATCCCGCAAACAACATCATATATAGATAAAACCTGGCATGAAGATCTAGTAGATTGGTGAAAACTACTAAGGGTGAGATAGATACAAGAAAGAGAAAAGGCCAAGAGAGAAACAATTGAAGAGTATATTAACAAATGTTGTGAAAGAATAACAAAAGAGCAAGAAAAAATGTTGGTGAGCTTGCTAGAAAGGCCTTTTAAGAAAATAAAAATAGATCAGGTTTTAAGAGAAAAGAACAGCA